TAAAAGCCCTTTGAGGGAGGGAGTATATTTTATCCTCCAGTGGCCTCCATGGTACCTGGCATAACACTACATACAGCAGTCTGCCCAAACTGCCTACCCACCAAGCTTCCTAGGGGATGTGGAACCAGTATTAGATGGGACCTCTCGTTGGAAAACATGACAGACTTAAAGCCTTTGATTTGCTATCATTTTTGCATTGATAACCAGCAAGTGCATTATTAACTCATCTGACTCATGTCACTATTTGTCCACATAGATAGAATTTGGATGATGAACAACCAGGGAGGGATGAGATCTAAAATTTAAAAAAAATAGAGTTAGAAACTAGTAGAATGTCAGCATCATCTATATAGAGTGTGGTTAAGATTTTACCGTCATGCTCTCTAAAAAAAGTGTATTTACCGGGTCTTCGTCTGCACCTTCAGTTCTCCAAGTAACATTTGTAGATTTCAAGAGTTTTTTTCTCAAAAAATAGGTATATTATGTGTTTGTTTAAATGGCATGCAGAAACATATTTTGACAGGATAAAGGGCAGAGAAAAGTTGGTCTTACTGTACAAAATGTATTAATTTTACAAAGAAAACATGACATTTTGCAGGTAGTAACAAATGATGCTTTTCTCCTTAAGTAATTTTGCTCTTGGAATATGCAGTTACCTCACTTAGCCCTGACATGGCTAGTCATGATAGATGTGTTAAAATTGACATTTAACAAGATTGTCCATTAAAAGAGGCATGGTTTTATGAAAGAGTACCATGAAATATCACTCCATTTGCATCTTTAATATTGATAAAATAATGAATGCTTTTAGAACCAATAGTATAAGCCTGCACTTAAATTGGCTTATCTGAATATGCATATGCAACATATATTTAATGTAGTAAAAAAAATGCTATTGCAAAGAAATCCTTGCAGAGATTACTTAATTTGAGATATTTTAACCTTTATCTTGTACATGGAACCTGTTACCTTAAGAAACACCACTTTGATACAAGGAGCAAAGGTTTTTCAGATACTGGTAGCATTGTTATCCTCTTAACAAAGGGAATAAATTCAGTTTGGGAAAGATTTGTGGGAGGAATAGGGTCTTTATAATGCAATTCGCCTTACACACACATACACTCACACTCACACACACACACACACACACACACACATCAGCCAGCCATTGGATATGGGCTGTATGACCCTGAGCAAGGTGATTGCATCAACTGAGGGAAATGCCTGGAGAAGCACCCAACGGAAAGAAATCAGCCTCCAAAAATCCCATCAAGTGCAGGAATGAGGGCCTAAGACCTGAGGACTGGAGTACACCTTGGAGACATTCACAGCGTCCAGTACCCTGGTCTTGCTAGAGGACTTCCTAGGAAGTAAACCTCTGCGTGCCCTGTCTTATTCTTTCATCAAAATTTTGTTTATGCCTCTCCCATTATACAGCTACTTCTGCCCCTGATTTCCCTCCTCAAACTTCCCGGCTTTCTCAAAACTCTTCACAAGATGCTCTGCCTTCTTTCTTGCTGAAACTGAAACCTGACCCACCTCTAAGGATGTAGCTTTCTTCTCTAGTGACAACCGCTTATTTTCCTTCACCCAGCTTAGCACCTGTCAGTTCAAATCAATCAACACTGTCTTCCATCCTTACTGCCAGAGCTTTTCTTCAACACTCCTTTGAAACTCATAATTACTACAGACATTTTATCTTCTACTCTTCCTCCTTTCTACCACCTGGTGATATCCTTGTTCTTGTCTCACATTTTTCAAAGATGCTGGCACCTGTCTCTTGATATTATTCTACACCTCACATCTTGGTACCATCCCGGGTGACTTCATGTTCACGTGCATGACTTGTGAAACACCCTAGGTTCTCACTCAAAGTGTGCTCCACAGACCAGCAACATTGGCATCACCTGGGAGCTTTGGCAAAATTAGGAAACTCAGGCTCCTTCAGGGCTTTGACTTAGAATCCAAATTTTAATAAGATCCTAAGGTGCCTGGTACATGCACTGAAGTTTGGGAAGAGAAACTTTGCCCTAGACTCTCCATTTTTTTTACTTTTTCACCCACGGCCTCCATTTGCCTTCTGCTTTAGGTCACCTATTCTTTGACTGCACTGAGGCCTCCAGATCTTAATTTTTCCTCCCCAGATTAACAAACTCTTTGTTATTATTCTTCATGATATTTTTGGAAGTTCTTCCACCTGTTATGTCAGGTGGGATATTCTCTAAACTGCCAAAGGCATCTATATTCCTATCAGCCTATAGAAAGCCATTGCTAAGTCAAATAGACCTGGGAAGGGTCCAGTGTACAGGGTTGGAGCTTGCCCCATCCTCACCTTTGACTTTTAGTTTCTTATTTAAATTTACTTTGTTGTTTATAGTTTATGAAACACTTGATCCTGTGTATTTATTTGGAGAATGGTCCTGAAGAAATAGAAACAATTTCTATAGAAACAATACTGCCATCTGGAATTCACAATATAGGTAGCGCTACGTTCTTTATTTAATTTTAACCAGGACACAACCTGGAGCCCATGTAGGTAATTGCTGACTGATTTGACAACATAAAGTGTCTAATATTTTTATGATGAAGCCTCCATAATCAAAGCTCAAAGATAACAGTCTGGCAGAGACATTTATGCTGCATATTACTCTGATTATTACTGTTCTAAAAATGAGAAAAAAAAAACCCTGAATTACTTTGCTTTGCTTATCTTTGAATTCTAGTACTATGTTAAAAGAATACATTAAAATGTAAGCACTTTATGATTAAAGGATTGAGGGCACGGGTATTTCAAAATGTACACTAGGGTCAAAATTAATTTGCTTCCTTGTTTTCCCGGTAAACCTTTAGCTGGTAGTTTGGTGTGTGTGTGTATGTGTGTGTGTGTCTGTGTGTGTGTGTGTGTAACCCAATTTCAGGCAAAATAAAATCATTATCACATGAGAAAGTATTTCCCATTCTATTCAAGCCCATCAATAGCTTCATTGTCTCTACATATAAAGATGGTATTTCCCTGACTAAAGAGTGCGCTTTATACACAGGCAGAAGACTAGACCAGTCTCACGCCTTTATTGTGAGATCAATACCCATGTTAATGCTAATAAAGCATTAACTTTATTAATCCTATCCCTGGGGAGAACTGCTCCGTGGCCCTTCCCTAAACTGCTAGAGGACAGTCATTTTTACCACACGGAACCACTTGCACCAGTGAAGTGTATTTTAATACTTCATCGTTATCCATGGAAAGGAAAAGTCCGCCCAAATCCCAGGAGTGCTTTAAACTTTGTTTCCAGGGTTACTTAGGACTCACACAAAGTTCACTACCTTCCCCAAAGGGGGCCGTTTCTGCAGAAAAATGTCCTCCAGTGGACAATCCATCGTGTGATATTACAAACATTGAGAAAGGAGAGGTGCCAACATTTGGGAAAAAAAGGGGAACTTTCCTTTCTCTACATGTGTGAGGGGTGCGTATGTGTGGCGGGAGTGGAAGTGCCTATTTTGTCTCTGGGAAGGGGTGGGTCTTGCAGTGGATAGCATTCCTAAAACAAAATTTACATTTACATAAAATTTTATATTGTATAAAATACATATATATTTTACCGCCTGCATAAAGGACTGAGGCCGATCTCTTTTTCTGTGATTCTAATCCCGTCTCTGCCACCTCCAGTGGCCCAGGTGCACCCCCTCGTCCTAATAAATAGCTGGCAGAGCCAGCCATTCACTCTCTCCACTTTGATCACCTCCGAGCTGTCAGCCCGGGCTGCTGTTTGCCTCCCAGCTCTTGTTCCTGCCTAAAAGTGGAAGTAATAACCCCTGAAAGAAATACCCTAGGTGTCCTGCAAAGCATCAATCTATTTCTCCTTTTTCTTCCTTTCTGCCGAGGCCCACCCTCCCAGCTTGAACAAATCCCCTCTTCCTCCCTCCTCCCTCTCAGACGGATCCCGGTTTCTCCGCGAACCCTCGGCCGCCCCGCAGTGACCCCGGGGCCCCGCCGTCTGAGACGCTCCCACCCGGCCAGACTGGGAGGCTCCGCCCCGCCCCCCGCCCCGCGGGGCCCCGCCGCCGGGAGCGCAGCCTGCAGGCGTCTGCGTGTGCGGGAGCCTCTGCGCTTTCTGGAAGGCGCGCATTGTTTTCCTCTGGCTGCAGCCTTTCTCTGACCCCCCGAATTCCACCCTTTCCCGCCCCCCGCCGGGGTCTTGGGATTGCCCGCGGACTCCCGGGCTGGCGGGTGGGTCCTGGGCTCGGCGGCGCCTGCGCGGGCGGCCAGGGAACTCCAGCTCGCGCTCAGTCGGGAGCGTTTGCAAAGGCGGCTGCTTTCAGATAGGACAGTGAACACATTTTCCAGCCCATGTTCCCGTTTCTTGTTTACAGCCGCGAGTACAAGCAATCTGTGTCCCCTCTTATCGTCGTGTCAGGCAGTGATGTATACTCTGTAAATATTATTGAAAGGAAATGATTTGCAAAGGCAACAATTACAAGCCGAGTATACGGACTATGAGTTCTGTCTTTAATGTGTTTACCAGGAGAGGAAATTAGGGGGAGGGGGCATGACTCCAAAGGATTCTGATTGTATGACAGTGACATAACTAAACATAATGTTGCTGAAAAGCCTTCGCCCTCTTCCTGAAATTGCTTGAAAGTATGCATTATTATTTTTTTTAAGAGAAAAAGATGATGTAGAAAAGGAGGACTTAGAGTCACTGAATACAACTCATTGTGCTGGCTCAAAAATGTCAAACTGCAGTGGAAAGAAATACAGCACTGCCGGCTGGTGTGCGGAGGCCCCAGCTAGGGAAGCTGGATCAGCTAAGTGGAAAATTCCTGCCGAGGACGTGTTTCCATTTCCAATGGGAAGAAGGAGGGTGTTGTTGGAAGCTGGCAATTCTTTGGAAAATACAGAAAACACAGGGAAGATGACAAAATGACCTCACTGAACTCTGAGAATTAAGCAAACAAATCGTTTTAGTCAACATACCACATTCTTATGGTGCCTGTTTCGGAATAACAACGCTGAGCCGTATGTTCAGTGAGAAGCTGCAATCTCTGCTCTCTCTCTTCCGTCCCCCATGTCTCCTGAGAGGAAAGAAGTGATATTTTAGTCGCATGCAGCTCCACAGAAGCAAGTACATGATAACACGTGGGTACCTCCATTCCACTTGTGCGCTTAGGGACAAACTCACTTCTCATCCCGATTACTAAATTAATGGTGGAATCTTTTGTTTATGAGCAAGCAGAGGATTTCAGTTTAGCTCGCGTTTTTCTGTTTGAAAGAATCTCAACTCTTAGGGGAGTCCACCAGGTTTTACTAGCCAGGGGTGGTCGCTGTAAGAAGTTAGTGGGGTTCCATCGAAGGACAGCTTCAATGGTATGGTGAGGAAGTAATAAAGGGAGCAGAGGTGAATGGGAGCACATTCCAGAGGCCATACAAAGGCAGCCTCCTATAGCTGCGATTAGAATTACCATTTTATGTCATATAAACATATCATGGTGGAGAAAAGCAGAGACTGATCAGAAGCCATGATTTTCCTTCCGCAAAGCTTTTGTCAGAAAGGAGAAAAGGAAAAGAAAAAAGGTAGGCATTGAATGTTCTACACAGACACAATGCAGTAGAAATGATCTTCATTTACTATGCTGATTCTTACTCTACCAGACCTACAACATACTGACAACTTCTTTGGCTTTTATGTCTGTAGTATATATATATGGGTGTGCGTGCATGCACGCGTATGTGTGTGTGTGTTGGGCACTTTCAAGTACAGTCCCTGTCCATAATCGTCTGAGAATGAAATGATTGTTGAATTATATTGAAAACTCTTTATGAAAACTATTTGTCGTTTTTAAGTAATTTCAATTAGAAATTACAGATGATGGAATTTATGTGGTCATACTGTCACCTGCTGACATACCCAAAACATAAATCACAGTGTCTTGTGTCATTCAAGTATCTACTGGCTTATCAAGTTTACTTGGAAGTATCTCCATGCTAATGGTGGGTCTTGGGTCTTGAAAATTTTACATAGTAAGCAAAGTTCACGTCAGAACAATCATTAAGCTATCTCTGATTGCCAAAGTAAAGCTGATGGTTGATTGAGGAAATGATATATTGTGAGTTAGTCATTGTATATTTAAAATACAAATGCCCTTGTCGGTTCTTACAAACACTTATGTCATTAAAAGAAAGAGTTTAAAGAGTTCTATTGAGATATAATACATATAGCATAAATTTTACTCATTTTAAATGTTCAATATTCTTAGTATATTTACTGAGTTGTAAAACCATTGCTACAATTTTGTATTAAAACATTTCCATCACTCTAAAAGGTAACATTGCAGTGTTTCCGTCTCTAATTTAGATTCTGTCTCTGTTTGCCAGTTTGGGACATTTCATATAAATGGAACCATACAGTGTGTGTGTGTAGCTGCTTTCACTGAGCATAACATTTTTAAAGTCCATGTTGTATCTTTTAATTGCCAAATACTATTCCATTACATGGATACACCACTGTTTGCTTATCCATTCATCAGTTGATGGACATTTGGGTTGTTTCCACATATGGGCTACTGTGAATATGCTATTCGGAACATCTGTGTACCAGACTCTGTGTGAACATATATTTCCTTTTCTTTTTGGTAGATACTCAAGAGTGGAATTGCTGGGTCATATATTAAGTCTATGCTTAACTTTTTAAGAAATTGCCAAATTGTTTCCCAATGTGGCTGTACCATTTTTACATTCCTTCCAGCAATGTTTGAGGATTTCAATTGCTCCAAATCCTCATCAACACTTTTTGTCAGTCTTTTTGATGGTAGCCATTCTGGTGGGGAGCTCGTCATAGTTTGTTTTCACATTTCCTAATGAATAATGATTTGTATCTTACATGCGTTTGTTAGCTATTTGTTTATTTTTTTAGGAGAAATGTCCATTCAAATACTTTGTTTTTCAATTGGATTATTAGCTTTTTATCACTGGCTTCTAGGAGTTCTTTTTATATCCTGGACACAAGTCCCTTATTAGAGTATGATTCGAGGATATTTCTTTGAATCTCTAAGTTCTCACTTTTTTGATGGTGTCTTTTGAAGCACATTTTTTGTTTTGATCAAATTAAATTTATCAATAGTTTTTTTTTTGATGACTTGCGCTTTCGTTGTCATAGCTAACCTTCTTATGAAGTTTTAAACTCTTGTTTCCTTTTTTGGAAAGAGAGATCTGAAAACTAGAACATTTTAGACTCTTCAGAATCATGCAGGAGGTAGAATAGAAAATAAATCTGAAGTTGCAAGTTCCAAATATTACCAGGCTGCTCGACATGATGAGCATCACCACGCATTTCTTTAGTCAATATGAAGTAGAGGCACAGCTGAAATTTCAGTGTTCAGGGCAAAAAGACAATAGATCTCCTAGGCCTTTCAACAAATTGAAGGAAATCCCTTTTTTAACAACTTAAGAAATGTACCCATTTTTACTGTTCTCTTTACTCCTCTGTATTTGAAAATTTTTTTGGATTTAGTGGAATCAGAAAAGTAAAATTTTAAGTCAACTTTAATATTTTTTTAAAGATGGAAGGAGCTATTTGTTTCACCTACTTGACTGACCAATGTAGTTTATTTTAAATTAAATGTTATCATGGTTTTCAATCTATGTTTGCATTATTAGAAAGAAAAAGTGACTTTTTTTATATTTAAAATTCACTAGTCAGTGTTGTTCCAGGTTACTTCTCTGCAGAGAAAATGGATCTAATATATTATCTACTCAATACATATACCATTGACCCTTGAACAACACGACATTAGGGCACTGGCCTCCAGGCAGTCAAAATCTGTATATAACTTTTGACTCCCCAAAAACCTAACTACTAATAGCCTACTGTTGAGTGGAAGCCTTGCCAGTCACATAAACAGCCAATTAACACATATTTTGCATGTTATCTGTATTATTTACTGCATTCTTACAATAAAGTAAGCTAGAGAAAAGAAAATGTTTTTTTTTCAAACTGTCACAGGTCCCCAAATAATTTTTTCAATGTATTTATCAAAACAAATCTGTGTGTAATTATACCTGCACAGTTCAGTACCATGTTGTTCAAGGTACAGTTGTATTTTAATAACCTGCTATGTGCCTATTACTAGAGCAGAATAGAAAGATAACTCAACTATGGTAGTCCTGATGATTTATAGCCTACGGTGTTTCACAAAGACATTTTTAAGAAGTCTGGATTTGAGGACAAAGCCGCTGATCCACCTTCACAGTCTGAAGGTTCATGATGACAGTGCTTCTCAGAGCTCCAAAAAGGCCTGGACCACTTCCAGTTTTTAAGGTTCCAACTATATTTTTTAAAAGTGACAAGAGTTGTGAGCTTATAGTATATCTAAACTATATGCTAACCTTGTTACATGTATAGTATGTGTATTCAGTCATAAGACAAATGTCCAGATTATAAAAAAAAAATCAATTTATGTGCTATATTGAGTGTATTCAAGTCATGGGACAAGTTTACAGGTGATGATGAGCATCTTCAATCTAGTTCTTACATGTCTGGGACACTGGACAAGTTTATTTGAAGACTACATCAAAAGTCTAGATTTGAAGCCGTTTGTCACCTCCTTGCCCCATGGAAAATATGCTGTGTCTGAGGATTTTCTTTATATTTCTTCCCTCAAATACTGCCAGTTATGAGGGTACTCATGTTCGGACACGACTCTGTTGGGGAGGCTGATCTTTCACCACCTGGCATGAGGATTTAGGCATTGATAGTAGCAGATGGCAGACACCGGAATCTCTGTGAACTGCTGTATGCAATGAGGATGGCAGTGTTAAAATAATAAGCTGATGCATTTTTATCTCTTTTAAATCACTGAGTAGTTATATCTTTCTGCCATCCAGATAGACTTGTGGATTAGAAGACTTAGGAGAAAAATAGGTTTACGTTCAGGTTTGGATGAGATACGATGTCAGACTTAGTCAACTAGATCATGGAGTTTACTTAAGGGAGTTCCGGACAGGAAGAGAAACAGTGAGAAGCTCCTGGGGATTGGGAGACAAAGGTAAGTGATGAAAGGAGCAGAAGGTTCTCCAGCCCCCACCCTCTAGTTGCTTGATAAGACCAAATCCAAAGAGGATAGTAGTTTTAGAAAAAGCCAGACAAGTTGGGCTCAGGCTGCGGGTGGGCAGGGAGGAGGAGGACGGATTGGATTCCAAGGCCACTGAGGTTTTTTTCTCTTTCCGTGGGAGGAAGTTACCTTGAGAGCTGCCCCCACACCTGTTAGGGGCATTGCTGTATCAAAGTAACCCTGTCAAGGCAGCATAACTGGAAGAAGGAGGTCTTTGTGTTTAGCAAGACTTAGTTGCCCTCCATTCCTTTTGGGCATGGACGGGGGCTCTGAGTAGGACAAAGCCTGGCCAGGGTGCCTGCTGGTAGCCTCTACCATAGCCAGAGGTTGTTCAGTGGCTATGCAGGCCTGGTAGATGGAGACTATTAGTGCTTCCAGAACTAAAGAACGCATTGCAGTTTGAAAAAGCAAGCAACTTTTTCTGCTAGAGGTATGGGAGGAGAGAGAAGGAGAATCTAGATTGATTCGGAGTAATGCCAGTGGAAGCTTAGCATCCTAAAAAGCCAGTTTAAATTATTGGATTGCACTATGAATTCCAGATGGGGAATGTCTAAGTCAGAGTTTCGTCAGAGAAACAGAGCCAGGAGGTTTATATATAGTAAGAAATTTATTTCAAGGCATTGGCTCACACAGCTGCCGGGGCTGGCTAGGCAAGTTTGGCATTTGTACAGCAGGCTGTCAAGAAGGGTAGGCTGCAACTCTCAGGCATGGACAGCAATCCCAGTCCATAGGAAGAATTCCCTTCTCTTCAGGGAAGCTAAGGCTCTGCTCTGAAGGCCTTTTAACTTCTTGGCTCAGGACCACCCAGATTATTTAGGATAATCTTCTTCACTTAAGTCAACTGATTATGGACTTTAATCACCTCTACAAAATATTCTCACAGCAACCCCTAGATTAATGTTTGATTGAATAACTGGGGACTGTACTCCAGCCAAACTGACACACAGGATTGACCATCACAGAGAATTATGTTTGTTCTCCCACTTTACCCTGTCTTTCAGTGAGCCTCCAAGAAGAAGACTACATTTC